GCAGGAACGAATGGCTTGATGCGCCTTAACGTTCCAATACCTGCTGCAACCTTTCTGCAAATTACGTCAATATGCTCATCCCAACTCAACGTTTCATCAAGGGTGGCGCCCAAACAAGGTATTGAGGTTACCCTAGGAATTGGTTGACCATTTAACATTACAGGAATGCCATTATTTATCTTATGGAGATTATGTTTAGATCCTACGTACATTAATTTAGTTTTGGATGAATGGTGTTGCAAATTGTTTTGTTTGAGCCATTGACTTATGTTATTCAAGTCACTGTTCAAATTGAAAACGAGGTGCTGATAGTCATTAGCAGATGAAAAAATCTGTGTATCATCAGCATATAAGCACGGGATTGTATTCTTGAGATTATTTGGGAGATCATTAATATAAAGCAGGAATAGAAGTGGGCCTAAAATAGACCCTTGAGGGACTCCACAAACGAGATTTCTAGGTGTTGACATCATGCCATTGACAAAACACACTTGTTCCCTATTAGAAATGTAGGATTCAAACCATTTTAATTCGATATTTAAAACTCCAAATTGTTCTTTCATTTTACGCAATAAAATATTATGGTTAATTGAGTCAAACGCTTTCCGAATATCAAGAAAAACAAGACCGTTCAAGTCTCCATTATCCATGTTAGTGTACCACGCATCGCACATTTGAATAAGTGCAGACAAAGTTGAGTTCTTTGGACGGAAGCCGGATTGATACTTAGAAAGCAGGGAGTTTTCATTTAGATATTTGTATAATTGGTTGAAGACTAAACGTTCAAAGATTTTACTTATAATTGGTAGAATAGAAATTGGACGATAATTTTCGCATTTTTGTCTGTCTTCAGATTTATATATCGGTAAAACCCAAGCCTTTTTCCATTCTTCCACATAAATTCCAGTTTTAATTGATAAATTAAATATCCACGTTAGTGACGGACTAATTATTTCAGCAGCAATTTTAAGTGCTCTCGCTGGAATTGTATCAATACCTGTTGATTTTGATGTTTTAAGATTGCGTAATTGAAGACACACTTCGTGTGTACTTATTTCAGAGAACTTAAACTGAATATCTGGCCTAAAAGGAACACTTTGTAATGAAGTGAAATCAGTGGAATTGATCTCGATTTCGTTAGCTAGTTTAGCTCCGATATTCACAAAAAAATCATTAAAGGACTCGGCTATCTTTATGTCGTCAGAAATAATAACGTCTTCAACTTTAAGTTGAGAAATATTATTTGATTTATTATTTTTGCCTAAAAGATTGTTTATTAATTTCCAACTTTGCTTAGGGTCCTTTACCCTGACACAATCTTTGATTTTATTGCAAAAGTAGTTCTTTTTAGCCTTCTTTAATTCAGAATTGACTTTATTCCTAATTGCTCTAAACTTGATCCAGTGCATGTCCGAATTATTTTTTACGGCCTTCTTTTTGTGAAAATCTCTCTCTCGCATTAACTCCTTTACTTTCGAGGTAATCCATGGGAGAGAATTGCCACGAACTCTCATACGCCTCAGCGGCGCATGCAGATCCAATACTTGCAAAAAATGTGACCGCCATAATTGATATGAAATATTGGGATAGTCGTAAAATGTCACATTGTCCCACGGAATTTGTGAGAGATCATTGAGAAAGTCAGTTTCACTAAATTGTTTGAAGTTACGAGCATACTTAACATTTTGTCGAGACGTGATCTTAAAATGTTTTCTGACCACAAAAATTAAACTGTGATCAGATAAACCTAGATGAAGTACTCCGGATTTTACAATATTTTGTTTCTTATTCGTGATTGCCAGATCGATCAAAGTTGCTGACGTTCTAGTTACCCTAGTGGGTTTATCAATTATCTGATCAAATTGATAAAGTGACAATAGGAATTTTAACCTACGTGTGTGCGCATCGGAAGGAGATTTATTTACATCACAGTTTAAATCTCCAACAAGTATTAATTCTTTATTCTCAAAATCACAGTTTCTGAGGAAAGCTTCAAAGTCATCAAACACCTGAAGATTTGTATTAGGAGGTCTATACCATGTACTTACTAGGAAAGATTTACTACATGGTCTGCTGATTTCCACACAAACCATTTCTAAAGTGTCTGCTAGTAAGTCATTCCGTTCCGTAAATGGTATAGAGTCACGAACATACAAAAGTACACCGCCTCCATGTCTATTACGATCTTTGCGATCCGAATTACATGGTATCCTAAAACATTGATTTCATTTTCAGAAAATGAGCCATCAATTTTGGTTTCATTATTTTAGGGACCGATCATTATTTATGGTGGGGGGTGGCACCGAAGAGAAATGTTTTTCATGGCAAAAATTTTGCTTACCCAACCATTAAAAAATCAAAAATTTGATTACCCAACCTCAAGTATCATTTAAAAATAAATACCCACCCCTGGCCAAAAACGTTACAAAAGGATGTCATTCAGTTGTCACACATGACAGTCTCCCTCGCAGGCGTTCTTACTAGTCCTTTACCACTTCTGTGATACGTTTGATAACGTTCGGCTTGTGAATGTTTGATAGTTTGATAACGTTCGGCTTGTGAAATTTACTGACTTTTCTGCAGTCTAAAGTTTCATGTTGTCTGCACATTTACTTTCTTTGGAGACACCATTTGTCATCGGAAAATGATGAAGATATAGATTGATTCACATATTGTATTGACATATGACTGATGACTTTGAAGTTTTCAGTCTTTAATATTTGAGTGAGTCGTGCTTTGGAATTGACTCTAAATTTTTATTACCCAACCTTTGAATGGTTTTGTTTTTCATTTACCCAACCTTTTACTCACTCAAAATTTTGTTTACCCAACCCTTTTCTCTTCGGTGCCACCCCCCGCCATAAATAATGACCGGTCCCTAACTGCTAAAATATCTATAGGGCTATTCTGCATCATAATTCGAAGCTCATCAATATGCTTTGTAAGACTATTAACATTTAAGCATGCAATCCTAATACCTTTACAATTTTTTAGATAATTTAATAATGAGCTATCTGATTTTTTACTTATCTTATGGCCATGAGAAGTAGAAACTGAGTCCGAATCACACCGTGAATTTATTGTTGAATTTTGCGAGAGTTCCCCACGAGTATCGCTTTCAGCATGTCCCCTATTTGATTGATTGTTGCCATACGAAAATCCTTCTCAGAACGAGTCGTGTCTTGAACAACACGGGGTTGATTTCCTCTCAGAAAGGTAATAAAATGTGAAGCCAGGACTGCTGAACCTTTGCCGTTAAGATGTAGATTGCTCCCATTTAAACATGTGTGATCAATGGAAGAGTTATCAATGAACATAACATCGTTCTTTGCAGCCATTTCTTCGAGTTTCTTGTTGACTTTCTGTATTTTAGTTGCTTGTTCTATATCCTGTCTAAACGTAATTCCAGATAAACAAACTTTTGAATTAGGGAATTTTGCTTTGGTTTTGATAACAAGCCTTTCTAATTTCTTCGAACATACTTTGGTTGAGTCTATCGGAATGTTGTTTGTCCCAGCGTGAACAATTACGTGGGAGGGAGATGATTGAATATTAATAATGTTAAGTTCCTTTTCAATATCTTCGGCAGTTTTCCCTGGGTATGTAAATTTATGAACATTTTTCTTTGTAAGTTTTCGAGGGTCGATGTGTTTCACTATTGAATCACCAATAAGAACAATTTCTTCTTTATCACGCTTCCTTTTAGATTGATTTTCGAGGTTTGTCGTTGAAGCAGATACGCTTTCACTTGTCTCCTCGACAGCAAGAGAAGAGAATTGATTTTTAAGCGGGATTGCATGGGTATCTCGATTCGGTTGTTGAAAGTCATCCCGGTCATTAGCATTAATTTGTTTTTCATGGGAATGGCGTTGATCTTGTGTAAGGAGCTTTAAAGCTAAGAGGAGCGAGTCTCTCTCTTGTTCAGCTGCTTTTACACGATCTTCAAGCATTTGATTTCTGTGTTGTTGTTGTTTAAGTTCAAGCTGGAGCTTCGCCATTACTTCTTCGTTTGGAGAAATGTTAGTCTTTGCATTAATCATTCCCTCAACACGGTTCTGTAGAATTATCACAGCCTCGTACCCAGGCGCTAAAAATGGGCACACTACAGTGTTATTATATAGATCAGTGGCTCGAGCGCGCGGGGGTGCTTGGGGAGGACGCAGGAAACGAAGCGCCTGGGAGAATATGTAACAAACATGGCGGACATGAGAATGCAAATGAGGAAATTGCTGTACTATTTGCCCGTGGAACATTACATTTGTGAAAGATTTTATGCCCAATTGATCACTGCGTTGTAATAAGGATTTTTCCTTGAAAACGGTATTATTTATCATTTTAGCTGGCGACTTTCCCTTCGACTTTCCTCTGCAGGACCTCTCGAAATTAGAGTTAAGCCTGCTTGAGTGCTGGTCATTGAGAGAACTCGAGTTCATTGAACATTCAAAAAATGATTTATTTTTAATGGTTGAAAATATATGTCTGGTGTTGGATGTATATCATGAACATACTGCCTTTTTGTAGTTCGAAAGAAATGTATGCAAGTAAAGAAACTGGCCAAGTTATTCTTGATATTTTAATAATACATTGAATTTAATTATATGGAATGTTGAAATTACTATTTATTTGTGCTGATGATACATTTTACCTCAGAGGAGAAAATTAACTGGAAATATTTTATGATTGTATGTTTCTTTAGTTAGTTTCTATTTTGCCAATAAAAGGCCTATAAGGCTATAAAATTAAACATGCGTAAGTGCAAAATATGGTGAAGTCTGTGAAGACAATTTAGACAAAAACATTAATATCAACCTGTTTTGGCCATTTAGCTATTGTTGTAACTGGCTGACAGTAAGTTTAAAGCACAAACCAACCCAATATCACCTCATGCATGTTTCATTTGTTGATGTGTATTTTGTGTTTCACCTTGCTTTTGACCTATGAAGGCTATTGCCCTTGATTGCCAAAATCTACAATGTTTACACTAAGGAATGGGGGTATACTCTGGATTTACCTGTGGTTACATACAATGCATTTGACACCTAGTTACAGGACAGAGTCTAACAAATTGAGCATTTTAGAGATATGGTTGCATATCACAAATTGTTGGGCTGATTTCAGATGCATGTTAATAATCAATGGTATTTAAAAAATATGTGGCAAACATCTGATGGTCTCACTGAAATATTTGTCAACATTCAGCAAAATCTAAAATCAACTCGACAAAGTGTGGTGTGTAAACATACACATACAATACACACATAACACATGATTTACCATATGTTGTCATGGAAATTGGTCTCGAGATTAAACAATCCAAACATGTTTAGAGCCACCCCAAATACTTTATTGTCATGTTACTCAAGGTAGGTCCCAATAAACTGCTTGGACAGGTGTAGGCTTTCTAGTGTAAACACAACAAAACCCTATCCCAGTTGTTTCTGTGCTTGCTCCTAAATCCTCATGAATACTGTATATGGTCTTTGGTTCAGCCAAATTGGAAAGGGCATTTGTTTTACACAACTTCGCCAAATGAGATATACCAACTTATCAACATGCTATGCAAACAACAACCCCTATAACATTTAAACTAAACTCTTGAGAATTTTATCATTTAATTATTTTGCACACAACTCAAACTACTAGTATTTACATTCAAAGAAATCTAGAGCTATAGCAATATTTATGCAATTTAATACTCTTGTGGGCTTTTATTTATACACCCACTCACCCACAGCTTAACTTCTCAACAAGCTAGGCACATTGGCACAAATTGACAGCTTAGCCCAGCCCATTAAGTTGCACTGCACCCTACTGGGGCTATGGTGGCGTGATGATTGCACCACCGACTTTGGTCCTGCAATTGTCAGAACAAGGGCATTCTGGGTGAGATTGTGGGCGGTTCAATTATCACCACTTCAATGACACCAAAGAGTTGGTCAACACTCAGTTTTCTCCAGAGGGAGTGTTGACAGGCTGTCTGGGGATTAGCCTCAAACACAACCCTCCAGTCATAAGGTGACTGCCAGAGAGCCTTTTGCTCAATCAGATTGTGCTGCATTGAACTGTACCAGCTACAGAGAAAATATACATTTCATGGGTTGTGAATCTAATATTATACAATACTATATCACAGGTAGTTGAGGATCCTTTGGAATTCAAGAACATCAACAAATGTCAAAGTAGTCAAACTGTACACAATACACTAGAAAAACAAAAATAAACAAATCACTTCATGACAAATTTAATAAATATACAAAATCAAGCAGTAGTCTTAATAGTGACAACACTACTGTACACAGAGCTCTGTATGAAAATTCTGTCAATTCAGTGATTGTTGGCTGAAAATATACTATTCAAGTATTTACAACTTTGATGTATTTTTTTTACCAGCAAATCTCTTTGGCTGGGACTCAACATGGGCTTTTGATTCTGGTGTTAAATTATTAAAGGATGCTTCCCTGTTTGAAATGATTCTTTATCCTGTTGTGTGGAGCTCGTAACATTCTGTCCTAGAGTTTTATTAAAATTCTTTTAAAATATGAAAACTATTTCTTGTATCATCTTGACCAAGATTACATGAACACATATAATTTGCAACTAGCATAATATGAAGATATATTACACTAATTACAGTAAATAATCGCACTTTTGTTATCATCAATAGATATAAAGAGAATATTGAACTCTCAAGGCAAACGAAACAGCAAACACTCACCTCTATAAACACACATTTCTTCGCCTACAAACGGTGAACTTTCTTCTTCCAGACTTGATGATGATAAACCAATGAATCGATTTTTAAACGAATTGAAACAGTATAGTGAGTATACTAAAGATCAAAGTGACAGTATAAAACTACATTCGAATGATAGTTCTTGAAACGACCGTTCCAAATCATCCATAATTGCGATCACAGGTGCGATACTTTTTCAAAAATTTTCACATTTTCAAGCCAATACATATTTGTCACTTTTTGCAAAAGTGAGAGGCTGAAATCTACATATTCTCCCAGGCGCTTCGCTAACCCGCTGCGTCCTCCCCAAGCACCCCCGCGCGCTCGCTCATCTTAGCCACTGATCTATATAAAAAAACTGTAGTATGCCTATTTTTAGTTAATTGCGCCTGGGTACGAGGCTGCTGTGGGGATGTGTATAAAATGTATTACAAAGTATAATCCATTGAAGCAACTTAATGAAATAACTTAGTCATTGCCACATTTGCTAGGAACATACCTGGAACGAAATACAAGTCAGAAAAATACTTGAACGCGCTGCAACACTTTCCACAAATTAACCCGCGCGCACGAAGTGCAGGAAAACATCAGATAGACAGATACAAATCTTAATCTTATATTTCAGCCTCTTTGGCAAAATAATATTGTAACAAGTCATGAATATAGCAAATGTGCTGTTTCTATACGCAATACAGTATAATATTACTACGCTTATACAGTGTAATAGGTTTATTTATTGAAAAATAATTCTATAATATCAAGAGCTGTCCTCTACAAATCCTACAAAGTCTTCATCAATAGCATGCAGCCTGCAGGCATTATTCAGTCTCATATGCGCAAAAATGTCTATTTCCTAATTGTCCATAAACCATCTACACAAAGTTTTTATATGCTGTGCTCCTTCAGAATCTATAAATTAATAAATAAGTCTTTTTAATAAGTCGCTTACTTGCATGTGGACACATGTAAATATATAATAATTCAATAATTGTACAGCATGTACCGTATATAAACTCTCAGTTACCGTACCGCATGCGTGTGTTCACTGATAGTAAACTCGGGTACGGTAAAGTGTTTCATAATTTCAATATGTTGATAAATAAAACTTTATTTTCCCATCTTCTGTGTTTGTTTGACGGTATTCCTGCTTCTTTCTTGTTCGTAATTTATTTCGTGGCTGCTGAACGGAGAGCTCACTTATCTAGTGATAAGCTGTTGAATTATACATGATGGCGCGACTTCATCTTGCATCACAAATCACAATGTTACTGTGTAGAGAATCGACGCACTCCTCAATTTCCATACAACATTGACACTCTTTAGCATAATTTACGAAGCAGTTCAATGCGACAATTGCCACGTTTACACCTGAAATATTATATTTTGTAATTTGAATACTGTGTATGTAGAAACACTGGCAAGTCACGAAACGCAAGGTCAAGTCACGCAACAAAATATTTACCATTTACTCAATTCTTCTGAACTATCAAGCCTTTGTTGTAGTTGCTTAAGACGTTCGTCGTGATTGCTTTATTTCACGGTAACTTTTGAGCCAATCTTCGTCGGGCACTGGTTCATTAACATATGGACCAACGTCGTGCGCACGAATTATCGGCGCTGCTTGACTACGCTTCACTGGTGTTTTTCAATTTCACTCGATTTGATACGGCCCACGAATATAATTTCAGTCAGTCATCGCTTTGGTAACTGTTATTTTCCGTATCTGAACTCGACGAAGATATTTGTATCGAATTTTGACCAGCTTGATTGTGATTCTCACTTAGTATTTATATACTTTTGGCTTAGGCGAGTAGGCAATGTCTTCCTACTATGACGTATTAGTTACCAATTTCCCAGCTTCGCGGTTTTCAAAAACTTTTGCCGTTAAAATTTGAAATTTTTAAATTTCATTGCCTTATTACTCTGTGAAAACAAGCTCAATTTTAATTCTGTTTTGTATTTTCATAATCTACGTTTCAAGACGATTCTATTAATGTAAACTCTCATTTTGTGACAGGGGCACTTTAACTTGCCCTTGTTTATATTGTATATTGTGAACGAAATGTCATTGTATTAGGCAAATGAGAACCATACAATAAATCAAAATAAACTGTCGAACCTTTAACTTGTCCTTGCTTATATTCCACTATATTGTACAATAATAAAAAGGTACTCAAGACATAAAACGCCAGCATCTTGGGAAAGATATAGGATACAAAGAAATCGAACAACCAGTTTAATTCGATCAAACAAAGTTAAATATTATGCCAGTCTAAATCAGGACCTTGGTGATCCCAAAATAAGTCCTAAAAAGTGGTGGGGAATTGTCAAGTCACTTTATGGTCAAAAAATGCGTGTTGCTGTACCGTACCAACGCTTATTGAGGGTCAAAATGTAATAAGCGATGCTAGAGCTAAAGCAGAATTATTGAACGATTATTTTAGTAGTCAGAGCATGATCGACGATAGTGCTGCAATCCTTCCTCACGAAATAGTTCCATTTCAGTCAGCTACTTTCTTGTCCATTATTACCACCACCGAAAGTGAAATAAATCGCTTACTTCGACGTTTGGACACAACAAAAGCTTGTGGTCCCGACGGAATCAGTAATAAAATAATTAAGGTTAGTGCAGATGGCATAACGAATGTTTTCACACGGTTGGTTAACTTATCATTGTCCTCTGGCGTTTTTCCAGAACAATGGAAGATGGCTAATGTTATTCCTTTATCCAAAACTACAGTCGATCGTCAATTGAAAATAAATTACAGACCCATATCTTTATTAGCGTCGTTATCAAAAGTAATTGAGAAAGTTGTTTTCATGAGATTTTATAATTTTTTACTTGACATAGGTTTTTTAAATCCTATGCAGTCAGGTTTTCGCCCAGGTGATTCTACAGTTAATCAAATTTTATATTTAACGCATAAGATATACGAGGCTTTCGAACTAGGCAAGGAAGTAAGAGTGGTGTTTCTCGACATCAGCAAAGCCTTTGATAGAGTCTGGCATAAAGGACTGTTATACAAGCTTAAGTTAATCGTTGTAAGAGATCCTTTGCTTAGTTGGTTTGAGAGTTACTTATTGGATAGAAAGCAGCGCGTAGTCATAGATGGTCAGTTTTCGCAATGGAAGAATATCAATGCCGGAGTACCCCAGGGGTCTGTGCTCGGTCCACTATTATTTTTAGTTTATATTAACGATATAACTGAAAATCTTGAAACAAATCCCTTATTATATGCCGATGATACGTCACTATTCGATATAGTCGAGTCTCCTGATATTACTTCAGTTAAATTGAATAACGATCTTAGTAAGATTAGTGATTGGGCAAAACGCTGGCTTGTTACTTTTAACGTTAAAAAAACTGAAAGTATTATTTTTTCAGTAAAACGGTTTAAACCCCACCATCCAGATTTATTTTTTGATAATAACAAAATTGTGGAGGTCTTACAACATACACATCTAGGAGTAAAATTAACCACAAATCTTTCATGGAAAGCCCATATTGTAAATATCTTTGAGAAAGCCAATAAAAAGCTTAACATGCTTAAAGGTCTTAAATATAAAATTAGCAGAGATACTTTGAGTAAGTTATATTTATCACTTATTCGTCCTGTCATGGAATATGCAGACGTATTGTGGGACAGTTGTACTGAAAGTGAAAGTGAAAGCGATCTTCTTGAACACGTTCAGTATGAAGCAGCGAAACTCGTGACAGGGGCTATGAAAGGAACAAGCAAGCATCGTCTCATGAGAGAAGTAGGGTGGGAAAGTATGTCAACTAGAAGGAAAATTCACAAACTTACTTTATATTATAAAATTGTAAATAATTGTAGTCCCAGTTACTTAAGTGACTTACTTCCTTTTCAAGTTCGTCGGAGGACACAACATAAATTAAGAAATTGTATAGATTACTCACTCTTCGCTTGTCGAACAGAACAGTTTAGGAAAGCCTTTTTTCCTTCCACGACAATATTATGGAATAATCTGAGCAATGAGATACGTTCTACAGATTCAATTACACACTTTAAGAACAGTCTACTAAATGTATTTGACATATGTAATCCTAATCCTATTTTAAATTTTGCAATTGATAGGCATTCTTCTATTTTCCATACTCGTTTGCGATGAGGTGTATGTGCACTAAACTTATATTTGTATGGCATAGGTTGTAAAATGTCTCCATCATGCAGGTGTGGCTATCACACTGAATCTATAAAACATTATTTTCTCTACTGTCCAATATTTGCTGCCCAAAGGTCTAAGCTGTTCTCCTCCGCTGCCGAGAAACTTCCCGAAGGGTGGTCAAGATTGAAGGATGAACAAATTATGGAAATATTTCTCTTTGGTTCTCAAATGCTGTCGTTGGAACACAACACGGCAATATTTTCTTATGTTCAGACTTATATTAAAGAAACAGCACGTTTTTATTTCAATAATTCTTGACACCTATCGTGTTAGTTTTCAAATATTAAAAACCGTGTGTGCGTGACAGTGTATTTTTTAATTTCTAACGAGTAAGCCCCCTAGATGAGTGTGTACGCTCTTGGGGCAAACTCAATTTTCCAAAATATGTTTAAATAAATTCGCGTCGGGTCCAAATTTTGGGGTTTTCGAGTCGTTTGATACAACATATTGATTGTATAAATCCGCTGGGTCGGCCAAATTTTGGAAGCCAAATTTTGGAGTCGTTTAATACAAAAAGAAAAACATTAATTCAACACGCAAGAAAGTCCAGAGTGCGACAAAAAATGAACACAACTACACCACGGATGTTTATGACTCTACAACGTATATTTATAAACAGTTGTTTATTAGTTAAAAAGTCAAACTGTCGAACCTTTAACTTGTCCTTTGTAAAATTCGCTGGGTCCAGATTTTGGGGTTTTCGAGTCGTTACACGAAGAAAAACATATTAATTCAACACGCAAGAAAGTTCAGAGTGCGACACAACGTAAAATCCATAGGAAACCGGCACAACTCTTTGAAAATTCAACGAATCTGTGTGAAATATATTCTGATCACTCACCCAAAAGGTGCCATTTTGAAACTGGACTGAATATGTCACCATTGGAGTTCGGAATTGTGCGCGTGCGTATAAGTCCATAGAAGTCTATATATGGGCTAATAAACGGAAAATGCACCACAAGCATGCCATGCGCAGGCTATTACGTACATAAATACAAGCTTCTTACTATTATATATGAATCGTGGAGTCGAAGAATCGATGGCATTTTGGATTAATCGTTGCACCCTGAGCCTGCGATGCGCGAACGCAAACTCGATTTCACGACGACGAAAAAAACAGAAAACAGAAAACTAGGGATTTAAGACACTTACCTTTCAGGTCAGTGTAATAAACTGCATGGGAAATTAAAGGTGTTGAAAATGTCAAAAATAACCGACCTGATGAGGACTGGAACTAATTTGCGCAAATCTGCTGGTTTGTTGCATCTTATAGAAGCAGGATTTGGCATGAGAGCCATGGGATCCCAGATTTTCGTCAAGTTGTTCAATCTGTTTCTATTTACTGAAATTATCATTATAATGATATATATTTTACGTGTTTCGCCTAGATGAAACTGCATTTATAAGGTAGCCTAATGAACGTTGTTTAGCTTTTGTCGCTTTTATCTAATAACTTTTTTTGAATTTTTTTCTCGGCTGGTTTAATTCAGACTCCAAAAACGGCTGCCAATTTAATTTGCTACGTGTTATATCCCACTTATATTATCAATAATTATAATCACTAGACACTCAATGGTCCACAATGTCAAACGCCTTTTCAAAGTCTATAAACAAGACGCCAGTAACATTATCTTGATCCATGTTTGACAATATTTGATCAGTAAGTTTTATCAACGCTGATTCTGTAGAATGCGGACCTTCTCGAAATGCGGATTGTAGTTCATATAATAAGTTGTTGTTTACAAGATAGTTCATTAAGGATTTGGCCACGTGTTTTTCGAGAATCTTCGACAATACGGATAATACTGATATTGGTCGGTAGTTATTACTCTGATCACGTTCTCCATCTTTATAAAGGGGGGGGTAACACGAGCCATCTTCCATGCCGATGGAAATGTATTGGTGGCTATCGAGTAATTTAACAATTTAGTTAATGGTTCGCAGAATACCGGTGCAATCAGTTTAAGGAGTTTCACACTTATTCCATCAGAACCTGTAGCTTTATTATTTGACAGTTTATCTATTATTTCTTGGACATCTTTACTCGTTATTTCAGGAATGCTAAACTGGGCTTGATCATCTGAGATCTTCGATGATACAAACTCCGCAATTACCTGTTCATGAAGAAATTCTCCAGCTTGAGTCGTGTTGTCTCCCACTTGTTTTAAAATGTTAATAAAGAAATTATTCATGATTTCAGATATTTCTTGTGGCTCCGTGTACATATTTCCGTGATCGTCAGTCAACTCTGCTATTTTAATAGATGGCTTTTGTGTTTTTGCTAATTGCTTTAGGGCTAATTGCTTTAGGCAACTATGCGTTTTTTTGTGTTTATACATGTCCCAATCTACATGTATACATGATTCTGATTTACGAGCTTTCTTAAGTAGAGAGTCTCTTTTGTTGATCGCTCCGATGATTTCATTTGTAATCCATGCTGGTTGTAAAAAATTACACGCCTTTGTTTTTGCGGAATACGATCATCCAGTACCTGGTTTAATAATGACCCCAGTGTTGCTAATATGTCATTTACATCATCAAAAATAAAAGCACTATCCCAAGGGACATTTTTTAAATCATCTAATAGGTTTTCCGGGTTTAAGTTCTTAAAAACACGATAGTTAATAACTTTATGGCTTGCGTCCTTATTTAGTTTCGTGTATTTTCTGCAAACGAACACCGGTAGGTGGTCTGAAGTTCCAATGTCCTCCGACACTATGTCTGTTATAAAATTAGGATGCGAAATATAAACATGATCTAAGCAGGTTTTACTGGCTGGTCGTGTAATCGTAGACACAAGCTGAGTTAAGCCTGATTTCCACTAGGCGGAATTTTGCGCGCGGAGCGACATTTTCCGCAGCCACAAAGTTGAAAGCAGTTCAACTTTTTCAGAAAATGTCGCTCCGCGCGCAAAATTCCGCCTAGTGGAAATCAGGCTTTAGATGCATGCTTTTTAGTGACTTGATTAAACGGTGTTTAGAGTACAGACGACTGTCCAAGGCATTAATATTGAAATCCCCTACAATAATCATTTCTTGTTTTCTCAAATATGCCGTTTCAATGTTTTGCTCAATTTTGAGATCATGTTCTTTATCCGAAGACGGAGGGCGGTATACACCCCCAACTAAAATCGATCTTTTGGAATTGTGTGGACAAACAGTTAGCCACCTGCCTCGTACCCAGGCGCTTTAAATAATTACAAGCCCCTTCGCCATCTCTCCCCACTACAATACTTCATGTAAACTCGTCATATGCGCATCACTGTTTTTTTACAAAGAGACGCCTGGGTACGAGGCAGGTTAGGCACTAGCCTCCTCCGCAGGCAACTCTTGTGGCATCCCAAATGGCAAACGTTTGAAAAATCCCCATCAAAAAAGAGCAATACTGTCGCGAACGGCGAATTAATGTTGTTTTGGCCGAGTAGTAATAACCCATCAAAAAAGAGCAATACTGTCGCGAACGGCGAATTAATGTTGTTTTGGCCGAGTAGTAATAAAATTAAGGGGATTGGGTCGGGGGAAAGGCGGATAAAGGGGGATCTTGGGGGATAAAATACGAGGAGAGGAGAAAAACGAAGGGAGGGAGAGTTGCCTGCCAAAAATCGAATGGTTGGACGCGACAATTCACCTTAGTTGACATGACAATTCACCCCGGGTAGGGTGAGTATAATTTGCTCTAAAATTCGCGCAAAAATATTCATTGGCATTGCAGTCAACTATTGAAGTCAACATGGCTGAAAGTGTAGGTAGTTCCAAAGCATTTCAATCGAAGATACCACGCTATGTGAGAACACAAGTCCCTGTATGCAGTTTAGAGTACAAGAATATTTTGCGCAGTGTGCGGCAAAAAGAAACCCAAATAGCGGAAATACAGGACCAGATTAAAGCGAAAAAGAAAGGGTTGGCCGATCGTAAGAAATCACATTTTGACAATTTTGGGTTTATATATTCGTCGAATATCAGTATGGATCATAAAGGTGATCAACCCTTGAAGCAATCGATGATCCCCGTCCCTGCTAATAGCCAGAGGAATGTAATTTATACTCCAGGTGGAACCAAAAGGAAAGGCAAGTTTATACAAACTATATTTTAATTATGCGATTGCTTGAACAATCTTTCATAATAATAGTGCTACTAGTACTGTAGCGGGAGCAATTTTACCGCCAGGTTTTAACGTTTTAGGGCTGGCTTGTTTCTATTGTGTATTACATATATATGAGTATACGACTAAACTTTAATGTAAATTTGCGTATTTAAATTATTTTATAGTAAAACCTTCCTACCAAGCATTTAAGGCCGATATGAAGACAGCCTTAGAATGTTTGATTTGCAAGAAGGCAGAATCTATTGTCATGGTAGATGTTTAATGCAAAAACTTAATGAAAGGTTTCCAGGAGTAAGTGGTTTTGAACAACCAAATGTATTAAAGGAGCTATCCAAAATATATGGAAAGAAGGTGGAATATATGGGGAAGAAAAAGAGGTCTAGTGAATGTTTCATTGCTAATTTCTACAAGCATATTTCCTTGACCTTGCACATGATTATGTTCTCTTTTTATTTTCCTTCTTGGAATGATATAGATGATAGCTTGAAAATACTAACTAAATCAGTCTTCAAAAAAATAATTAAAATCAAATTTATTAATGAATACTAGCTTTATCTTTATTCTTATTTCTGTTTTCATTTGCTTTCAAATTAACTAAAATCAAATTTATAATTAATGATTACTGGCTTTATGCCTGCTTTTGTTTTTGCATATGTCTATAAATTTTAATTTGCATCTGTATAATCATTGTGCACCATGACCTTAAACCAATGTTGACCCACAGTGGCTCGAATACTTTAATAAGGTTATCTGACTTCGATTAGTGTTAAAGCTATTTCAGATATCCTGTGCCAACTCTGTTTTA